GGCCTTACCAATAAGATAAAAAGAGTAAAAAAAAAATAAGGAGATGTAGTGAAAACACATGGCAGGCAGAGGTTAGGTTTAAGTCAGCGCATTGGTGGGTTGGAAAATTTTAAAATCTACACATTAATTTAAAATAACACTAATTTATTTTTATGCAAAAAAAAAGTACAACATTTAATGTCAACAAGCATTTTTAACGTTAAAAAAATATTTTTAAACAAAAAATTATTTTAAACAAAAAAATATGTTTAAACAATAATTATTTTTAAACAAAAAATTATTTTTCCATGCAAAACATAAATTTAAACAAAATTAAATTTTTAAACAATTGATGTTTTAACCATATTAAATTTTTAAACAAAAAATTATTGTTAAGCAAAAAAATTATTTTTAAACAAAAAATTACTTTAAACAAAAAATTACTTTTATACAAAACATTATTTTTAAACAAAAAATTATTTTTAAACAAAAATTGTATGCCCTTTAATTTTTGTTTTTAAATTTAAACATAATTACTAATTTTTTTTCAAAATTATTTTCAAACAAAATAACATTTTTAAACAAAAAAAGTATACCCTGCACGCTATGTTGCGATTTTTAAATATCACATGTAATATTTCTACGAAAAAGCAATTAAAGCCCTAAACGTTACATTTTCGCACCAACTAAAAGCAAGCATACTACAAAGAGCCATCTCCCAATCTCATTTCACTCTCAGCCAGCCAGCGCTCGCCTACCTTTTTATTCATTACCTGTCGACTGGATTCGCGTCTAGTTGCGATTTTGGCGCTCTTGGAATCGATTTGCGCATAAGGTGGCATTTCAAATGCATTCGCAGTCGGCGTCGTTGTGTCGGCCTTCCGTTTGACGCCTTTCTTTATTTTCGCCGGCTGTTGGGGCGGTATTACTGCATCGGCTGTGCTATTAACACTGCTTTGATACGCGGATAGTACAGCAGCGCCAACGGCAGCTGTTGAGTTCGGTGCGCCACCAATACTGCCGCCCGTCGCATTCAAACTGCCGCCGCTGGCGTCGAGTAACGATGAATTAACCGCACCGGCCGCACTTACAGACGCCGCTAGCGCAGCATTAGCACCCACTAAGGAACCGCCGGCTACACCGCCGGCTGGTAATATACCACCGGTAGGTAGTACTGTGGCGCCGGCCGTTATTAATGCTGCACCCGCACCACCGGTTATAGCGGTAGTTGTTGTATTTGTGCTGCCGGGAACTGTTTGCGGTGGCATTGTGCCAATGGGTGGAATGGCGGGTGTAGTTGTTGCTGTTGCGCCGCCACCAGTCGACGACACTGTGCTGCTCAGCGATGAGTGTGGACGTGCGGGTGCTCGTGGTGTACCACCTGTAGCGGCGGTGGCAGCTGCTTTAGCCGCTGCTACACCGGCGGCAGGTGTATGTAGCAACGCAGAGCTGGGTGTGGCTGGTTTGCCGGCTGGACGTGGTTTCTTCTTGCCACCTTTCGGTGTCACAGGCTCCAATTCGATTTCCTCCTTAGGCATGGCTTCGATTTTCTGCAGGAAGACCTTTTCTAAAGTTTGACCCATAACAACAACATCCTCACCGGGTTTGTTGTAAACATAACAATTGGTGAACATTGTATTGAAGTCCTGTATGGCTTCTTTGGCCGACCAATAGTAATTGTTCTCCAGACGTTTCTTTATCGTACCCATGTCCATTGGATGTGTGATAATCTTATGGTAATCGGGCAGGTTAAGTTTTTTTGCATCGACCGGTTGCTGGAATGGCCAAGAGAAATGATGTTTCCAAATTGCTTTCATTACGGTTTTAATGAGATACTGCAATTGATTTGTGTTGCGACCGGGTCGATCGGGTGGCGGTATGGTTGGGGGTTGCACGATGCCGTTAACCGGCTCCACATACGGCTCATCACGTGGCGGCGGATCCTGCGACATGTTTATGCTTTCTTATATACACACACCCACACACGCACACACACACTAGCCCAACGTGCAATTTTTTTGCTTTGTTGTTAATACTCGCGTGTGGGCGTTAGATGGTTTATTGACGTCTTCTACGCAATTCGTAAATAAATAACAAGACCCGCCTGCCGTTTGCGGGATATTGCTGAATATGTGCGAGTTATGTGTTTTTTCTTGTGAACACTATATAAAACGAGTTGTCTAATGTGGTACCGTAGTTACGACTTTATTTTTCTATATAGGGAAGATGCTACGGAGTACTACGTTGTAAACAGGCAATGACTTCTTGTTAATGATTGTGTCTGATTTTGGGCAGTCTCTACAGCCTTCGCAGTTCTTCCCCTTTATGTCTACTGACTGTCTAGATAAATTTTGCTTCTTGCTTTGTATGCTTTCTTGCGTTTCCGTATAGTGTACGTACTCAAATCCTTTTTTGCAGTCTAGTATTGTGGTAGTAGAGTAGTTTAAAGGTAGCTCTCGATCCTTCTGTGCTTTGAAATAATATACTACGAATTGATTTTGCTACTACTGTTGATGTGATTTTTGTTGCTGCTGTTGTTATTGAACGCCGCATCTTATAGCAAGTTGAATAACTAATTTGGTTATGAAAAACAAAAGTGAGGTTAAGAAATTAATTTATTTTTATTATCACATATACTACAATTTTCAGTATAGTTACAAAAGACTCACCACACATTTAAAGCAACAGAAGTAGAATTCGGGATCAGCTTGTAAAATCGCACATTTTTCCACTGTGTCCGTTTTTATGTGCACAGTAAGTATTTTTACGTACTTAAGTAGTTGGGATTGTACTCTATTGTAGATTTTTTTTTGTCTGGTTGAATTCATGCAGGTCAAGTCAATTGCGGAGCATTAAAACTGCAATAAAAGAAATTAAAAAGTTATTTACAATTTTTACTGATTACAAATGAGAATAATATATGAAGCCATTTTTCTAAGAAATACGTGGAATGTTAAGGAAGTACTTGCTACAATTATAACTAAACAAAAAAACATTAACTTCGGCTGCGCTAAAGCTAAGTCGGCTTACAAGAGCTTAATTTTAAACAATCAGTTTTACAATTTTTTCGCAGACTGTATTGCTGACTTGTACAATAATCCATGCCAAATTTTGTATAGATACCTTGTCAAATATAAAAGTTATTCATACAAGAACTTGATTTTGATCGTTCAGTTTGTAAGGCAGCTATATAATAGAGTAGTGCGATATAGGCGATTTCGACAAATCATGGGGACGTGTGCAATATTTCAGATCGATACCACAAAAACTAAGCGACAAGTTCGCATATATATAGGCGGGCGACAGACGTACATGGCTAAATCGACTCGACATGGCTCATGGAAAATGTCTAATTCATATAATCCATAGCCATAATAAACACATAAAGATCGTCAATTTATATGAAAATGTACTTTGTAAGCACATGTCCACCTCTGAAGACTAGTGACTTTATATACAATTAGACCATCCAATTCTCATCAAACCAAATAATGTATACATATGTACATACATATATATAGTAATTGCTAAAAGCAGACAACATTTATCGAATTGCATTTTATACTCGCAAACGCGCTAAACAGGCGACAGCGACTCGCAAACGAAACACTTAGCAACAACAAGCAAACCACAATTTTTCCCATTGCTACCAATAGCGCAAACCAAATTTGATTTGGCGCTTTTTTTTCAAAACAATTATTTATGTGAAATAAACTGCAACGAAAATAACCAATAGGCGTTAACCAACCAACCAATCAAACATCACGGTAAATCAGACAGCAACAATCACATCACACATCCAAGGGCGCATAAACACACGAATTAATTAACACTAGAGCACATATACGTACATACATAATTACATAGATGTGAACGCTCACACCAATTCTACACACTGCTCATACGTAACAAAACAAGTGAAACTACACAAAACAATTATATGAAAACAAAGAAATAAATAAAAATAAAAAAATACCATAAGCGAAACGCGATGCATAACGTAAAACCAGTGGTAGTAATAGGAAACGCAAAATATATGGCTACGTTGACAATTTTCAAAAACTTTACGATTAGCCGGCATTGAAATACATATGTGAAAACGCATATATTACTAATAAATAATTAATACTAAAGATTGTTGTTGACGTCTGCTAGTGACCGCAATAGCTTCTCGGCTTAAAGTAAAGCGCCAAACAAAAGACTAACGAAAATGTAGGAAAGCAAAGGAATGAAAGAAAGTTCGATAAATATAGCGTGCGGCTTTTTTTTTTTAGCCAACAAATAATATATTTTGGCGCAAACTTTTGACATATCTCGATTTGATATTGGCATAAAGCGCTCCAATAATAAACAAAAAAACAGCTTTAGGCAAACTGAGGCCTGATACAAATATGCCATATGCGTGCAAGCAAACGAAAAAAAAAAAAAAAAAACAATTATGTACATACTCAAATGCATTTTTTAAATTAGAACCAAATGTGTATCTTCGAATTTGAATTTTTTTTATTAAAACGCATCCGCCAGATACTTTGCCGCTGCATATCATGTGTACTAACATTACCGCACCGCAGAGCAGGATGGCAACATTTGCCTTTAAAAAACAAAAACACAGATCATCTTCTTTTAGCACTTGATTTTGCATGACACATTTTACGCCATAAAACAATATAGAAAAACCGATAGACAGCGCGCACGAGCACACATACCATATAAATATGCATACATACTAACAAATGTATACAAGCACGAATATTTGAGCAGAGAATTCAGGGTGACAGTCACAGCCGTTCATTCGAATATGGACAAATTACTATGCTGCCAGATCAAATGTATAGCCAGAAAAAAACATTTGATGGAAATATGCGTAAACACTAATTGACACAGTAAATAATTTTCGAAAATAATTGGATGCATATGAATAGTAACCGTTTTTACCTAAAACCTCTTACAATATTTTCATATTTTTTTTTTTCCAAAAAAAAATTTGTTTTTACCTAAAACCTTTACCTATTTTCTCAAAATTTTTTTTTTTTTTTTTACCAAAAAAAAATTTTATAATTTACTTTGGCACATATTTGCAAAGCATAAAGTTGAATGGTGCAAACCATTCGGCAACACCGCTACCGCTAGGCGATGACAAACCGCAGCAGCAGTGGCAACGAAATGGCCGCACGATTCATTTTTGTACAGTAGACAACGCTTCGGCCAAGTTCGGAATTGCCGTCACCTTGTGATTGTGTTAGCTACCCACTGACACTACTTTGTTGTTTCATCTCGTATGTTCTCATACGTTTTCTTCGTCCACCTTTACCCGTACTCGCTAAACTCAACGTACTGTTTGCTTTGCCACTCGTTTGTTTTATATCAACGAAATTAAACTCGTTTCGTTTCACGAGCGCAGCGCCACCACTGCCACTCACAAAAATCAAGGTAAAACACACCACTACCACCAACACACGTCGTTCAAGTTCGAACTCATCGTCGCGCACCGACGAGAGGAAGTGAAATTTTTCATTCAATTCATGCCCAAAAATCTTACACTCGCTTTTCATACAACTTAATTTGCAAAATTACCTAGCAAAACACATTGTTTTCAATAAATTTTTACAAACAAATTGTGCAGCGTCATTTCCAGTAATGTTAGTTCAAACAAATTTCTATGTAATTTTATTAAATTAACACAAAAACTTATTTGCAAAAAACCTACTTCGCTTCGTGTCTTTCCACACACACAATTTACACAGAAGCAAAATGAACGACGGACATGATGGATGAAAAGTGAAAAAGTTACAACAAAAGTACGAAAGGTGTTTAAACATACGAGTAAATGAACTAGCCATGCTCATCCATAAACTCATTACATTAGCTGTCACACTCACACCACAGTAATTAGCACAGATTAGCGGAACGTGAAAAGCAAACACACGGTTGCATGTATACAGAAAGAGATAAATAGTTATTTAACAAGGCGAGAAATTCGAAATCGAAAGCATGAGACGCTTTTGGGGATATCGTCTGAAGTCGAAATAACGAGCGCATTAGCCGGATCGCCTTTGAAATCAATCGAAGAAATAAATTCATTCAATACAACAATTATGCATTCCAGCACGGCAAACAAAGTTTCAAATTCAAATAAGTTTAAATGATCAGTTGATTATAAGCAAAACTTTAACAAGGCCTCATTAAGTTTTTTTACATGAAATTTAAGCGCGTTTAGCTATATTGCCCAGCGACTATCTTTAAAATTCTAAAAGCTAACGTGTATACACTTCATGAAGTGCTTTAAATAAGAATTGGCGCGCGAAAGTGTGAGTTGCCGCTAAAACTGTCGCAAATAACTAAAAAGTAATCGCTAGCACTAGAAATAAAAGCTTGACTGCAATACATTACCTGCTTTCGCAATTTTAGGTCCAGAACTACTGCGTGCTGAACGCAGTTCTTTTGTACATATAATACTTGTATGTATCAAGGTTTTATGCTATTATTATTATGTATCGGTTAATCCGATAAGATTTGTTGAGTTAGTATCTATCTTTACACTCGGATATGTTTCAAAAAACTTTAATAATGCACAAAATTGAGTATTGAAATTGCTTTATCTTCAACACAAGTATTGTTGTTGGCAAATTAACGTTGCCGTGCACTTTGCTACATAATGAAACAAGGATATGAATGAAAACAAATCAATTACGTATGTACGTAGAGAAATATTATACAAGATTAACACTTCGGTCACCATATAAAATGGAGCCGCATTATTATTGCTTCAACACAATTTGACTGTTGCTACGTTTGCTATTGCCACTACAACGGTGTCATTCCTGCAGCCTACAGCCCGCACCCACTTTTACACAACCGACAAACCACGATAATAATAATAATATTAAAAAAAAAAATTAAGATTCACGAGGTATTAACACAAAACATATACACAGCGATACATAGTAAACGCCACATTAGCCAACCAGCATATAGGGCTCATCATTGTGCCAATGGCAATGGTAGCAGTCGCCGCCGCACTACCGCCATTGACAACAACAACATAAACCGAGTGAAATTTTCTTCAATCTTTTCTGCTTCTTTTCGGTACTCTTTCGTCTTCGCGTAGTTTCTGCTTCTTCCCACTACGGTCTGAACTGGTGCTTCTGTTGATTGTCCAGTGGAGTCGCACTTTTTCAAACATAATTTTCTGCCACCAAATCAACACGCACTCGCAGAATTTCACAAGCCAATGTTTAAGCACATATTTAATTGCACTTTTTTCACAAATTACCTTTTATTTGAATAATTTTTACCATATATTTTTGCAATTTTCAGCACGTACGCGTTATGATCGAGACGCGCGTTTGCAAGCCGTCAAATATACAATTTTCGAACTAAAGCGCACATATAACGATTTCACTTGTCGAATTGGTTTGACAATGCTGGACACTCAAGTGAGAAAGAGATAACTAACTATTATTGCTGACATTAACCTACGTGTGTGTACTAAAAACGAAAACGAAACAAAATGGCTGTCACAGCACAAGATTTGGAAATGAAATCAATTTCGTTGTGTAGGCATTCCAACTAAGATAAATTGCCATTATTATTTAGTAAATGCACTTTTCAATATATATATATATATATATATATATTATCGAGTTCTAATAACTTCGACAGGCTTGTAGCGAAAATATCATAACGTTCGAATTTGCAATAAACACGCAGTGCACTTCATGACAACGAATTTATTTCATCAGCGAATTTATTTCATCACAGCGAACAAGAGGAATACCAATTGCAGGGTGACCGTGAGTAAAAATTTAATTTTATAGTAATTCTGAGGGTGTTTTTGACAGGGTTAGCACTTAAGTATTCTACAACTAAATTTTATTTAATTACGGTTATTAAGGTTTATAAAAATAAAAAAAGGATTGAAAAATATTTGTGATATAATTTGAACTTAGGCAAAATATTAAATAATATATGTCAAACGGGTTTAATAATATACTCAAACAGCTTTCGTCGCGTACTCCTTTCAAATGAACAATTTGTTTGTGAATATTTTCCAAATTGCATTTCCTACATTCGCATGTCCAAATAAGTGTCCTTTTGTAAAAAATCAAACATTCGCGCAAGTGACAAAAAAACGTAGACCAATAATATTCAAGCAAACTCGCGCCATATTTTCTAAGTATTTCGTATTACAACAACAACAAATTCATTTAAAAGAAACGTGCATCTGCTACAAAGCAAAGTGCGTTCGTTTATAACTCTGCGGCGCACAATTTTTTTTCTGTGCGCCTGGTCAAACATATTTGGTGTTCATATGGAATTCAAAAGTCACAAATGTGCGAAAATGTTTGAATGGAAAACTTGAAGAAATCTATTTTACAATGCCACTGAAAATCCTACCATCCCCTTCGCATTTGCATGCATTTGTCAACAAGCTGCTTCCTCACGACAATACTAAAAATCATAAATTGAAGTATTTGTCTGATGTTCCCTTCAGAAAGAAAATTGACAACATGACCTATTTGCGAGTTAAAATAATGTTTTAATTTATTTCATATTATGCACTATATATGGCATTAAAATATAAAATTTATATAAAATTCCCATTCATATTAAATCTTTAACTACTTCTAGATATTCTCAGCACGCTCCATATAGTACTTTTATATGTTTACTTATATCATTATTTCATAGTTTGTCGATTTAGCTAAGAGAGATATGCTAAGATTCCAATTAATAAAATAAACAAATTAAATAAAATTTGAGTTTCATGAGTTGCAGGATTCGAAAGTATATGCTCGTATTCAGATTAAGCTTAACTCCTTCACGCTTACGACCTACCCACCACAAAAGTGGAAACGCGGCCGCTTTAGTCATAGTTTTATTATTCTCCTTTTTTAATATGCATATCTCTTACGCAACACACAGACAAAAGTTGGAAAATTTGCATATCTTTATTTTATTATGAATTCTGAAGTTTTTGCCAGTAATCCTCCGTTTTAATTCGTAAGGTTTTTCATAATTTTAAATTTTGTAATATCATCGATTTTTTATTCGTTGTGTCTATTTATAGCCTTTTCTCCGTATCGCACATTGCGTGGTGTATTTCTCTTTTTCAAAGTTATATCTTTCGATGTTCCCTTATCTGGAACTACCTGAGAACGTATACGAGGGCTGCTATATATATTTCTGGCCTAATAATGAAAATATGAATATTTATCAACGAAAATGGTTTTTTTTTTCGGTCGATTGCTGTTTTGTTTCGGGCTCATACGTATAGATCCATGATTCGTCACCTGTGACGATCTTATAAACGTCTTTTGAAGCACCGCGATCGTATTTTTTCAGCATTTCTTTACACCAATCCACACGAGCCTTTTTTTGAGCGATTGTCAAATTGTGCGGGATCCAAAAAGATCCGGCCAGGTGTTCATGCAATATCGAATGTATGCTGGTGGGAGAAATGCATAGGCATGCCCCTATCTGAAGGTATGTTACATGACGGTCTTGCATTATCAGTTCACGTACGGCAGCGATGTTTTCTGGCACAACGGCTGTTTTTGAACGACCTTCACGGGATTCGTCTTTGAACGAGCGTCGCTCACGATTGAATTCGTTGTACCAGTTTTTCACAGTGCTATAGGATGGTGCTTCATAGCCATACAAAGATTTTAGTTCATCGATGCACTCTTGTCGTGATAATCCACGTCGAAAGTTGTGAAAAATAATCGCACGAAATTGTACACGAGTTAATTCAATTTTTTGGCCGAGATGAATTTTTTAATTCCCTGTAAATATAAAAATTCACGATTAAATGACAAAACGTTCTGAGTGATGTTATGCTAAAAAATGTCAAACTTTCCAATGGAAATGTCAGATTGCACCTGGCAACACTTAGTGTTGCCTAGGCCAGCCAGCTATATAGCAGCCCTCGTATTATATAATATGTTTTATAACAATATAAAATTATGCGAAACCCATCTTCTTGCTTTTTCATAGAGCTCATGATCTTGTAGTTTATTTGGCGGCACTGAAAGTTCATGAGGTACTGAACAGATGACAAGCAAAACAACGAACTACCACTAAGAATCCCTCAGAAATAAATTGCGAAATCAGTGGATTTTTTGCTAGATCAGATTTTTTGGTGACTTTTACATGTGTGTGAAGAGATTTAATATATACATATTTTGATTAGAATTCTCCACAAATATTATATAAACTTTGACTTTCGAATAAATTATCAAAACATATTTGCTCATTGAGTAATATAATAATTTGTGATTGAAATATAAATGTACATATATTTAGAGCCCATATAGGATATCTAGCTTGTTAAACTAATTTTAATTATGCATATATATTTGTAAAATGGAAACTGAAAAATACTCAAGAAATGTATTAAAAATCTCACAACTTATTTCGTAGTGGCACCACTGTCAAATGTTATAAAACATGTGAACTTTGACAGCGCTCTCTCGATTCAAAGAGTTTTTTATCATGTTATCCATGTTTGCAATATGTAAATCGCAGTAGAGATTGTAAAATATATATATGTATATATAATATATATAATCTACATTCTCTGTACGCAGTGACAACGAATTTATTTCATCACAGCGAACAAAAGGAATACCAATTGCAGGGTGACCGTGAGGAAAAATTTAATTTTATGGTAATTCTGAGAGTTTTTTTTGGCAGGGTTAGCACCTCAGTATTCTACGATTTATATTTATTTAATTACAATTTGGTGTTATATAAATAAGTAAGTAATACTTGTTTGATAATGTCGTTATATTCACAATAATTTATAGTTGGCGTTGTTGATGTATATGTTACCTAGTCCCCGCAACGTACAAATTAAAAAAAAAAAATAATTATATCGTACTATTAATAATTATATTAATTTCATTAATTTTGATGACGACCATTTTGAAACATAACGACATAAAACGTGCCAGTATAAAGGCATATATTTCTAATGAATTTAATATTTAAAACTATAATTAACCTCTATACCAAATGGGATTTCTTCGTACCGCGGCAATCTTTTTTCGTTTTTTCAATTCTTATTTGACTCGAAGGGTATTGTGATGAACTGTCAAGACAGCAACTAGAATCTGTATAGCAATTTGCTATTAGGAATTTATCATAATCGCAAGTGGATAAGTGCAAAATCTCGGAAACTTTGTGTACACGTTTTTTAATTTGTATAGGGTTCTATTTGCAAGCTCACTAAATATTTTTGCACTAATAAATAGTGGCATTTGGCAGCAAACTTTTACACAATTAAAGCGCCACCGAATAGACAAGCCATAGCTGTAAAATGCCACGCGGAAAATACGTAAATCACAAAGGTAGAAGCCGACACTTCACATCACCCGAAGAATTGGCCAATGCCCGAGACGAGTCCAGCGAAGAAGAGACTGAGTCGGGGGAGGAGAACGATAATGCCGCAGCAGGCACTAGTAAAGCTGCACGCGTTAAACCAAAACCACGCGCCAAGAAGATAAGTGGTGGTGGTGGCAGTAGCAGTGAAGAGGATTCCGATGAAGAATCGTCCGAAGAGGATGATCGTGATGCACGCAAAGGTGTCGCTTCACTCATTGAAATCGAGAATCCAAATCGCGCAACAAAGAAAGCAGTACAAAAACTGAATAATTTAAAATTAGAAGAAGCGGCGCCTACTAAGCCTGAGCTGACACGACGTGAGCGTGAACAAATTGAAAAGCAAAAGGCGCGTGCGCGTTATGAAAAATTACATGCTGCCGGGAAAACGACAGAAGCCAAAGCGGATCTCGCACGTTTAGCGCTGGTCCGTCAGCAGCGCGCTGAAGCAGCAGCTAAACGTGAAGCTGAAAAGAAAGCTCTGGATGATAAGAAGTCATCAGGTAGTAACGCTTAGATGCACCTTTGACTGCCTGGTCGTCTACCTAGGAACGCGGCAATCCACTACTGGTTTTAACTTTTTATATTCATTATTTTTTTTGTTTAATTTCAATGCAGTAGCTGCTCTTTGTGTAACAAGTAGAATACGTTTTATATTACCGAAAAAATTCAACCCATCCACTAATTACTATATTTACAAAATTATTACATTTTACTAATGCAACAAATTCAATGAAGTTAAATAGCAAAGGATTATTTGCAAAACGCGGCGATGTAGTAAAAGAGTCTATATGATATACGTAACGGTAGAAACTGATGAAGAGCCACGACATGGTAACACGTTACAACTGCTTGTTAGATTGCATGCATATTGAAATGACTAATACTAATGAATGAATAAAACTATAAAAACGCTGTTTTGTAAATTTTTTATTTTATTTAATTTCTAAGTGAATTTACTTATAAAAATACAAAATTATGCAACACTAAACGACACCCCAAACTTCTTCAAACGCACTGCACAACTTGCTACAAGCAATTGCTGCTGATAATGGATAATTACTAATTGAAAATAGGCCTTCTGAGTAGTCAGGATTGAGCACCCCGTGTGCGAACGCACCCACAATCAAGGCGATGGGTTCTTCAGCAAGTTCTTCTGTGTTTTCGCTATTCACTTGAACTCTTGGCACCAAATCCCTGCAATTGGCTACGAGTTTGCCCGAAAAAGACATAGCGTACTTCTTGCAACCTACAGGCAAATGGTCTGTTATAGGATTCTTTATAACCTTCATCAACATTGCGGAGGTGTCACTTGCGCGAACAGAGAACTTATGCAACAGTTGTACCATCAATCCAGCAAAACGTTTAAAAGTACGTGGTATACGTGTTTGAGGATTTATTTCTATTAGCACATTTTTCTCAGTACGTACATACACTTGCAATAAACCAGCGCGATTTAAGGGCGAATCGAAAAGCATTAACAAGCACTGATGTGTTATATCGGGTCGACATTTACCGGGATCACGGTTGTTTTTACGTAAAATACTCTGATGATCATCACAATTAAGTAACTCGAACACTCTGCCGACCTAAGATCACAAGTATTACTGCATTTTTTTTGTTGTAAAATATAACAATTTCATACCTTTACTGTCTCCAAATGTGCACCTTCTAATACAATTATCAAACGTTTCTCCAATGCGCGTATGTGTGTAGTCTCTAAATGCTTTTTCTTTAAATCAAATTCAGGATCATCCTGCCCAGCCGGACCTTGAAATTTGCGTTTTCTTTTAACTCCTTTACCGTTTTGGCTATCAAATTTATTTCCACCCATGCTTTTACGGTTTAATGGGTTTCTTTGTTTGAAAATATCAGCTAAAACTTGTCTATAGTTTATTACTACAATTTATTTACAGCCCAGTATTGCACGTGTGTTGTGAATAAGTGCCTCCATCTGTAAGTAAAAAAAAACGTAAACAAAATACGCTGTGGAACCGAAATGTCAAACAAAAATCACTGAATGAGTGTAGTACAGGGTGTGGATATTCGTTAAAAAATTAGGGATTTGTATTGGAAATTTGAAATTTCTAAAAAATAAAATACATTTGACAGCTTGGCTGCCTAATTGAAACAGCTGCTTGTGTCTGTCAAACATTTTCGTTAACTATTCCACTTGTCACTGGCATAAAATAAATAACATTTATTTTAACGCTTCTATCTAATTAAAGCAAAATACAAACAATTGTGCAAATATTTGAAAATGGGTGCAAGACGTGATGTTGCGACACTACTTCAGCGTGTGCGGGCTTTCCTGTTGGGAGTAAGTTAAAATTTTGCTGCTCATGCACTTATTTATATTTGCAAACATTATATAATACAACCCATTATTTTGACTTTTAGCGTGAGCACACTCTTGCACTACGTTTCGAGGAAGGTTTAGCCGATCGCACGCAACCACCCCCAGACTTGCCTGGTGGTCCAGCACATTTAATAGCTGCCAATCTCTACTGTAAACGTGATCCTCGCCGAGAAGTGCAACCGCCAATTGATCTTGTAAAGCAACAGTTGCTAGCTGACAAGGAAAGCGCTAAAACTGAAAAGTTACCAACACCTGGACCAGTTTATCTTTGGGATTAAATTTTTTGAAAACAAACGAACTTCGAAAATTTCGTGATTTTTGTTTTGGAAATAGACATACATATAAAATATTGACTTTATTGGCTTTGTGTTTAAAGGGCTAAATTACGCTTACGAAAACCCATTTGCCAACCCGTTTTTGAAATTAATACAACTCGCAAAGCCGGTACAACGTCATCGCCTAATGGTAGCAGCTCTAATTGTTGTATAATGCGAACAATAATCGCTTTCATTTCAAGCATTGCAAAACGTTGTCCAATACAATTGCGCGGCCCAGCACTAAACGGCACAAAAGCAAAGGGATTTTCATTCACGTCACGTTCTGGCAAAAACCGGTCTGGCTGCGGAAAGTAGGCGGCATCGTTTTGCATTTCATAAATTGCCAAGATAACGCTAGAACCTTTAGGTATGCAACTGCCATCTGAAATACAAATATGTAGTAACTACAATACACAAGTTTCCAAAAGCATTTACCAATGTAACAATCTTTCATAATAGTGCGTCCTATATATGGTACAGAGGGATACATGCGTAATGATTCCTTGATAACTTGCTCTGTATATTTCAATTGCATTAGTTGACGTTGTGTAAGTGCCTGCTGCATATTTGTGCCTACCGCTTCAACAATTTCAGCATAAAGCTTAGATTGTACGTCTGCATTGCGGGAAATACAATAGAGCGTAAATGATAACGCACTTTTTATAGTATCATGACCCTCAAACATGAAGGTGTCTACTTCTTCGCGTATATCAGTATCGGTTAGTGGTTGTCCATCGATAGTGGCAGAGAGTAAGACATCAAGTAAAGCCTGTCGACGCTTGATGCCGATGTCTAAACAGTGTAGGGAACAATACAGAAAATCAAGATGAATGCACCGAAGCTATAATAAGCTTCACAAATAAAAAATTTCCATATATGCAAATATTTGAATTTTTTCGGTCAGCTTATGTGGCAGCTATGTGCTATAGTGGCCCGATCTGAACAATTTGTTCTGAGTTTGTAGCTTGCTTTGGAAAATATTCCGTGCCAATTTTTCGTGAAGATAAAAAAACATCTTCTATACAACAACAAGATTTTGATTGTTCATGCGCGGTTCCGACAAATAACCAGCTTCACGGAGAAAAAAGGACGTATGCAAACTTTCAGATAGATATCCTAAATACTATTGATATACTACAACAACAAGATTTTGATTGTTCATGCGCGGTTCCGACAAATAACCTGCTTCACGGAGAAAAAAGGACGTATGCAAACTTTCAGATAGATATCCTAAATACTATTGATATACTTCGCGTATATACAGCCTGACATGGCTAAATTGACTCAGCTCGTCACGCTGATCATTTATAGGTATATACATATTTTATAGTCTCCGATGTTAGTGTGTTTCAAACTTCGTGGCAAACTTAATGTACACATTTCAGGGTATACAAATTTTCATTTAGTATCCGCCGGTATTGCAAGTGCTGCCAAATTGAAAAAAATTTAAATTACGCGTTAGGCCTAGTTTGCCACTAAATGTGTTAAAAAAAATCAAAAACTTTGTCTGATTTTAATTGTTTAAATATTTTTAAATATCCGCTAGAATTCTTACTTCTTGATTTTTTTTACATATTGCTTCCTTTGTTTTATTTTTTAAACATTTGAAATTGTTTCTTCTCGCTAATATTTGAAAGTTCATGTATGCAATAATGCAATGCATCATATGCATAGTGTGGCATTTGCAGCATGTTATTTCCGTTGTCACTGTAGCTTGACACAAAATTACGTTAATACATACCGCCATTTTGCTCCTGCTGGCTTCTATTAACTTCAGTTTGCTTTTTTAATATTTCTTTACGCCGTGCTTTAATAATACGCTCCGTGAATCTATGCAAGGCGGTCGTCACAGCAAAATGTCGCTGAGCCAATCGTGGCGCCAACAGTTGGAAAAGCCATTTCGGCCGGTAAGCTATCGTAATATAACGTTTGATTATGATGCGTTGCATTCTAAAAAGATTCGTTGTCATATCGCCGACAAATAATTGTAATAAAAGGCTTACTCCTTCAGTAACTGCACATATTCACAATTCACATCGGTTTGCGCATTGATACGCACACCCATCGCACTTTCACAGATTACATCCAAGGTCGCCAATGCCACCGCGTTCTCTATATTCACCACTTGTTCGCCATCTGCATACTGTGTCAAGTTGCGTACTAGAATTTGTGCTTGCTGATCGAATATGCTAACGAAATCTTCGAGTATTCTAAAATGAAATGTTGGCGTAATAACGCGACGACGACTCAACCACTTGACGCCATAACTAACAAGTAATCCATCACCTAACCAATCAGTGAGTAAACTATACATACGATTCTTGCGTATCTCGGTGGAGTGGCTCAATAACGCTTGTAAATAGCGCAGATCGCTTACAAACATGCCGTGTATGTACAACATCCAGAAGCGTGTGACGCGTCCAAAACGATTTCGTATGTAACGACTAAGCGCAAGCAGTTCTAAAAACACATAAAAAAAAATAACTGAACTAAATAGCAAAACAACCACAATACAACAACTCAACAAACCATCAGGTTGGACTTGCGTGTAAATCCAAATACAACCGATAATGGGTAAACTTAAGGGACCCGGCACTTGCGACCATTTCGCGTTCACATCCCGTTTCCAGCAATAATCAGCAAACAAACACAGCGCTACAAGCAATAACAGCGTTAACCACAACATTGCACAAAGCGCGTTGAGTGAGTAATAAATTGCTGTTCATTACATTACTATAAAAACGTAGTTGAGCTAATGTGCAATTTAAAATAATTTCCCGTTTGTAACTGTGTATAATAGTGAAATAGTTAATCATGTGTTAATGCACTTATAACCTTTGATACCTTGATTTAATGTTTATCGTTTGCTGCCACCAGATGCAGAATTATGTAAAAAGTGATTGAAATATTATATAATAATTCATATAAGGTGCGTTTTTTAGACAAGTGATCCCTGCGGCTGACTCGCATAAATTGCAGCCAAGAGGCCCAATTTTCGACCACGTTTTACCACAATTGGGGCCAAATATTCTTTTCCAACCTGACGCCACAAAAATAGTCCAGCGTTGTTAAATCGCACAAACTTGTAGGCCACGGCACAGTCTCACGAACTGGCACTAAAAAAGTCATTAATCATAGCTCTACAGCGTTCCCTATTGGCTGTAACATTATGACCGGCATCATTTGGATAGAAATATGCATCCATGATTCATTCTACCCATAGAGCACGGCATACAGTGACTTTTTAAGGATGTTACATTCGCCCAAAAGTGTGCTTCATCGGTGAATAAAATTTTCTTGTAAAAATCGGGATCGGTGGTCAGCTCGTTTGGGGCACATCCACCGAACGTGCGACGCGCTAGATGGTCGTTTGGACTGTTCATTATGAAATAGCAAACCAAACTGAGTATAAATCAAGTAACAGCTGTCAAAAAGACTAACTTCGAAAGAAGTATTGTCTCATTGAAAACTACACGTCTAAAACAAACACCCGTTACATATGTGTACTTACATACTTACCTTTATTTACCATTTTTTGTAAGCATGTACATATGTATGTATGTGTATGTGTATGTCCACCAAGTGAAAGTACAGTCAAACCTGGTTAAAAGAGAGTTCAAAGGACCATGATTTTTTTCTCTCTAATAGAGGTTTCTCACTAAAACGACAACATGTTGATTTTTCGTTTAGACATTATAAGTTGTTGTAAGAGCTGTACTGTTTGCTCTCAGTTATAGAAGTTAGAGTGGGAAAAACGACTGTCACTGATGGAGGTTTTTGTTGCTAACTCATAGAGTTTTTGAGAAGTCAAAGTTCGGGATCTGAGAATTATTCTCACTTATAGAATTTTCTCGCTTACCCAGTTCTCTCTTACTCAGGTTTGACTGTATATCGAATATACAGATATTTAAGAATATTCTTAGAAAATTTTATCCGGCAAATAGTTTTGGATATATGGATATATAATTAAAATTTTTTAACATAGTGTAATCAGCTACCAAAATTTTAAACGCGTTACTCTCGAAATACTGTTTTCAGAGGTGTTGAGGAAAATTTCTTCGTCTCCATTAAACCTTTTCTTACCAAGAAGCCGCTCATTTGTCGGAATGACCGATATCGGATCACTATAGCATACAGCTGCCATACAAACTGAGCGATCAAAATCAAGTGCTTGCATGGAAAACTTTTTCATTTGACGAGATATCTTCACGAAATTGAGAACGAATTATATTCCAAAGCTATAATGGAATCTCTGAAGAAATTGTTTTCAGATCGAATTACTATAGCATTAAGCTGTCATACAAGCTGAATGTTTGGAGTCAAGTTCTTCTAAGGAATCTTTTGTATTTGTGAAGGGTATTATAGCTTCGGTGCAACTTTCTTCGATCAGTAAATATACTAATATAGTAAGAATAATTTTTTTTAGTTTTTGGATTTAAGATAATTTTAAACAGAAAAATCTGCTCAACCACCAGAGACCTTTTTTTTTGCAGGTGATTGCCTGGAGATTGACTATGGGATACATTAAGTTCGACAAATGTGCATTATTTTTATTTATTTATTAAGAAGTTAGGGGCAGTCAGAATGACTTGCACATGGATATAACCCCTTTAAATCGAATATATGTCCAGCTATTTTTAATGCGGTTGAAAATATTGAAGAACGAAGAGTTGAGGCCCGATAATTAGTACTGATTAAAATCAATGTTTTTTGTAGCGATTTTTCACACAACTTCAAGCAGTAGATAACCTTCAACAATGTACTTATAGACGGGTATACTTCTATAGTATTAGCTACATTTTTACTTCAAGTACTGATAACGAATGTGCACACAAAAAGATTTGTTATTTGCGTTATTATATGATTATCCCACAGTGGAATTTCCAATGCTTATATGCAGGGCCGTAGAGAGAAAATCGGAGCCCGGGGTGCGGCACCTTGAACCATACATTATAAATCATTGCAGAGCAGCGGGTCCCCTTGCGAATTCCGGACACGGGACGAATTGTCTCAGATCTCCTCCTTTCACTCTCGTTCATTGCCTATAAGTATGGCTTGGATAGAGAGAGACGCTCTTACAAACCCCAACCAAAATGTCACTTGTAGTGCATTGAACGCCGGTCCATTAAATACCTAAAACTTCTATATAATGATCATAAAAACTTGCATAACTGGACAAAGCGTTTTGAGCCTCCTACAAGTTTCTTGAGCGACTAAAATCTCAGTTTTCTTGCAAAAGCTGGACAATGGCGAACAAAGTGCTTGGATCTTTTTTTCTTACCATACTTCATATTACTTTAACAATTTGTGTCCGATAAGATATATAACCGCTGCGCATGGATTCATATTCGACAATGTCTAGTAATAAACTACGAGTGCGGCAAGATCAACCCAAACTTGCTCTCAGCAAGTAGTTCAGTGGTTCTGCTGCGTTCTACTTTAGACCAGAACGATCTGGCAGTTGCATAGGAGCTGGTCATAGATGAACACCTACTAAGCTCACGCAAGGGCCATAGGTACAGTTCTAGAAGGCAGGAGTACAACGGGGACCCAGCTCGTTTCCACACCGTTGTAAGTGGGACAAGGTTGCCGCCTCTCACGAGCTCATCAGCTTCGCAGAGTACAACGATGCCGCTATGGCCAGGCACCCAAACGAGTCTGAACAAGCTCCAAGCTAGTTTTGTCGTTCTGTTGACGGAGGAAATGCCCACTTTTCTGTAAGAGGCCGTAATTCGAATACTAGACTTGATGGAGAGCTCCTTCTGAAGCTTTACAAAAACTGTTTTCTAAAAGCGATCACTTTTCAATCAATATCAGACTATAAAATAATCTACCACCGCTGAAATTCTCACTTTTATAGTCCATCGTCCATATAAAGTATGAAACCGTATCGAAAGTACTTTAAATATCACAATTTTATTGCTATATTTTCGCGCATCACATTTTTAAAAACTTATATATTATCTTCCCTTAAACATAAGCACGTTTTTTGAGTGCTACATTAACGCCACTTTTCGAGCGTAAGACAATTTTGATCGATGGCTGTATCGGCGCACCGCTGGGCAACAGTTCGTAATGCCGCAACAGTTGCACGACGACAGTACGCAACTCGAATATGGCAAACTTCTGTCCGATGCAATTACGTGGGCCCGCGCTGAACGGTATATTACTGAAGACATTGGCGCGTTCATTATTTTCCAAATGACGTTCAGGCCAAAAACGTTCCGGTTCCGCGTAAACATCGGGATCACGTAAGATTTGCCATAGTAATATGAGCACATTGGTGCGCGGCGGCAGCGTCACGTCAGCTGGAAAATGTTGGCATTACACAGCGCTCAAATTTCTCTAAATGATAGCACATGAAATACTTACGCAAGACCAGCTCCTCCTTTAACCAACGTCCAATTACCGGTATGGGTGGGTAAAGACGCAATGTTTCTTTAATTACACAATTTAAATATGTTAGATGCTGCACATCCTTGTACTTGATAGGTCGACTCGTATCAGTGCCGAAGTGATTGCGTATTTCTTCAAAGAGTACACGTTGACATTCCGGGTGGCGGGCGAGTAAATAGAGGCAGAAAGAGATGGCTGATGTGGTGGTGTCGTGTCCCTCAAACATGAACGTATTGACTTCATCGCGTATTTGCGCATCGCTGAGCGCTTGCCCATCGGTAGTGGTAGATTGTAGTAGTACATCCAGCAGTGCCATGCGTGGTTTTAAGCCGATATCTGTGGGTATTCATTATAGCTTATACCTATAGCTTATGTATATAGTGTGTACGACTATGTGCGAAAAAAAAGTGAGCTTAAGGCATTCTAAATGTATAATTATTGGTCACTAGTTTGCAGAAGTTTACTGGCAACCTGGCTGAGTCCATATTGGTTAAATAGTGTCGATACGCCAACTAGTACCTTAGTTTTTGCGCTATCGATCTGAAATTTTGCACACATTGTTCACTCCTCAAGTAGCTGCTTATTTGTTAGAACCGCCGATATCGGTCCATTATAGCATATAGCTACCATTCTGATCGATTCAAAACAAGTTTTTGTATGAAAAACTTTTTTTTTGACAAGATTTCTTCACGAAATTTGTCGCACATTATTTTCCAAGGCAACGCTGCAATCTGCAAACATAGTGTTCATATCGCTTCACTATAGCATATAGCTGTCATACAAACTGACCGCACAAAATCGAAATAAAGATGCGTTTATACCCTTTTATGCTATAATTATGCTGCTGTGCAGGGTATTATAACACTATTTTGCTGCTTGTTGCTACAAACTAACCTAACCTAAAAACTATTGTTGCCGTTTTCCGTCTTGCTTGAAATTGCTTGCTATCCGCTCTAAATTTGTATGTGTGTAACACTCACCCAACATTTCAGCGCTGGTTGCGCTTTCCGTGCTCGCATTGTTTTTCTTTTGCAACGCTGTACGGCGTTCTTCAATAATTTTCGCAGTAAAGCGATGCATAATTCGTATACCCTCCATTTGCTTTTCATACTGTTGCGGCCGCAGCAGCTTAAATAAACGCGGAAAGGCCAAAATGGGACGTATAAAGCGTGTGGCAACAATGTTTGTAACGCTGCGTGTTAGAAAATAAAAAATTAATAAATTTTACATTTTTCTAAACATTCTAATTGTTTATATTATATGTGTATTTATGCTCACTCTTTCACGGCTTGCACAAAATCGGATTTGGAGTCTTGCTGCGCATGCACACAGACGCCCATAGCGGTTTCTAATTTTAAAGCAAAAAATGATAAATACAATATGTAGCATGTATGCTGTAGAAGCTCACCCGCTATCACATCCAATGTCATAAGTCCCATATGCGGATATATGTCCACAGCAGTGGCGCCATCCGCAAGCGCTGACAATTTCTGCACCAACACACGACTTTGTCGCTCGAAAACATCCACAAATTGCTCGAGTATTTTGAAATGGAAGGTGGGCGTGATAATTTTGCGCATCATCTGCCATTTGCGATCGTAGCTAAGCAGCAAACCGTCGCCCAACCAGTCGCGCAGCAGCCAATAAAGCTGATTCTTTTGTATATGCTTTTGACTGCTAAGTAGCTCTTCGACATAACGCGGATCAGCGGTTACAACCATTAGATCGCGTAGCAGTAGCGCGCAGAAACTTTTGCCGAAGCGCGTGACGAACTCTTGAAACTTCAAATGTAAATCTTTTGTGTTTTTGTATTATGTAAATTTCCAAAGAAATTAGAAAAACAGTTAAAGCAGTATTAAGCAAGTGTGTGAACTTATAAGGCTAAGTTAATTGTGCGCCATCTATTTTTTTTTTTTTAATTTTCGCTTGACGTCAACTTAGCAATGCAATTGGGTACACGTGCTATTGTGACGTCAGCAAGTTCCAATATTTCCAAATTCAAAGAGTACCAATTAGCATTACCGCTATTAGCGGTATGGCGAAAATTTCTTTGGCGCGTTGCGTGTGGTGTGTCAGCGTGTGCGCGTGTGTGTTTTAAAATATGCATTTTTACTCACTATCTGGCTGAAAGCGCGCCAACACGAGCATACAACCCACGAATGGTATATTGGAGACGGGTGGTATACGCTTGAAGAACGCCTGATTACGCATGCGCGCATATTGGTGGTGTAAGGCGAGGCAGACAACTGTTGCAGCCAGCAGCATCAGCTCCCAAAACATCGTGCGGTTGCCACGTAGACACTTTATTATGTTTTATAATTTAATATTATAGTTATGCTTTAACATCGACTGTCACTTTTCGTTGTGCTTCATGAACTGCTGTCTAACGCCTTTAAGTAAAGTAATTTTAAATATTGAATTTTATCAATAAAGTTTTACTGCAACGTAAATTCAAATTAATCCAACAATTTCTGAACAGCGCTGCAATTAAAATAGTTATATACAAACATTATCTTTATGGCGCTGTAGCGCTGCTTTGTTATACCCTAAACAGGGTGTATTAACTTTGCTACATATACGCGAACTAGTCGCTCAGTTTTTGAGATGTTGAACTAAAATTTTGCAAATGTCATTCTCGTCCCAATAAGCTGGTAATTTCTTGGGACCGCCGATAACGCACCACTATAGCATAGAGCTGCCATAGAAACTGTTTGATAAACATCTTTTAACTTATGCCATAAGAAATGCAGCTGTGAAGGTTATTATAGTTTTGGTGCAGCCAAAGTCAACGTTTTTTTTTTATTCTTGTTGGCGCTAGCTCTCGCCATAACTACGGACAGCGCTCTTATCTGTTATTTATAAGCGATAGCACGCATTACACACATTTTATTTGCCATTTCTATTGATTTATTACACACATACATAACATTAATTTATTACTTGTACTTGAGCTAAATATAAATATAAATATAGTAAATTAAAAACTATAATCCAAAGTTGACACAGCTGCTTATGCCGTACAATTTATGAACTTAAAAAACTATTTTATATAGTCAGTTAATCACTCAGGCGATTAAAAATTAATATTCAATTACAAACTTTATGAAACATATTTATATAGTAATTCTATTGCTACTTGTGCGACCTATGTATTTTTAGCCACACTTAAACAATTAAATGTACTAATGGTATAATTAAATATTTTTATGCTATAAATATAAAGTGCTTCACAATTTGATAGCTGCCAACAGTGATAACGGAAATCCATCAACGAATGCGTGCGTTCGTTGCTCGTTGACAGGAAGTACCGCTACTTCATTTCTGCGTGCCTTATTTCCTTATCTGCTACTCGGTGCAATATGAATATGAAAAAATATATATTTGTGCTGCATTTCTGTTTGCAACATTTGCTTGCGTTTACACACAATAGTATTTGTTGCTATATTAAAATCGTTAAAAATCACTGCAATGACATCATTTACATGCATATACCATAACAAATGTATAACCATAATATGCTTTATCACTGAATTATTCTATTATTTCTTTCTATTAATCATGCACACACCAACGGTTGGGCACAAATAATGCTTGTTTTTAGAAAAAATGTCCGGTTGACTTATAATAAAATTACACAAAATTATTTCCAATTACTTTTTCAAAGAACGCTATTCGGCCACTACTCAAATGGCGTGTTTGAAGGAGTTGAAACAAAGACCCCATTTGAGTAGTGGTGAAACGGCGCCCTTTTATGGTATAACTAATTATAATTATAATTTTTTGAATGCTGACAACGCTTCTGAAACAGCGTGCAGCACATTTTCTAGCCCGCGGCTCACTGCCATCTAGCATTGTTTTCACCCAACTATGGCGATTTTTTTGCCATAAAATTACACATGCACATGTTTTTGAATATATAAAAATATAATATACGCGTATCTATATATGTACATATGTACATAAACAACATGCGGCGGTGATTAGTGATTTGCATTTTTAATACAATTAGAATCGTTTTTTGTTACCTTATAACATGTTTTCAAGCTAAATCGCATAGCATAATGACTGTTTTATATTATGATCGTGTTTCATTATTAAAATTAAATTATTATTAAAACTAAATTATTTTATGTATATTATCACTACAATACACCATTTGGTAAGCAAAGACCATGCTGTCATCACTCAAACAGCTGATGTTGTGAAATTCGTTCATAAGGCAACTGTTACTAACGAATAACATTTCTTTTATTACACAAATAATTGCATACTAAATTAATTTGCTAATTTAAATAATAGAATTACAATTGACGTACATTTTTTATTAAAGTAACTAATTAATGAATTATTTTTAAACGTCTGTTGTCAACGGCCTGTTATCGCACACTCAAATATCAGCACTAAATCTATCTCTGCTAAAATAGAATAGTTTTGGCTTATAGCTAAAAAAAAACGTGTATGTGTGTATGTGCATACGAGTATATGTGACTTCATAATTATTTACATACATTTATTATTTATTTTAAAAAATTGTAATATTTTTTTTTAACTTATCATAAATGAGTTTACTGTTGACTTTCACACATTTTATCCCTGCTTAAGTGCTTTGCTGCTATGCGCGCCCTGCAAACACATTATCTCGGTTATTAAGGTGAACGTGACAGCGTTTATGCTTTCTATTTTACACACACACACGCGTGTACGTACAAATACCAACAACAAACACACAATATAAACAAATTAATGTCGGCTGTGAATCACTACAACGTCAATTTCATGATAGCTGCCGGTCATAACTTTTATAATGCATGTAACAGAGAACGTATATTATATACGATATACGTTCTCTGCATGTAACTTGAAATAATTTACATTTTGCGCGCAAGCAGAAGCTGGTTATTTTATACAATAATATTATTGACACGAAATTGCACCTTGCGCTTTGAAAAAATGCAATCATTTAGTTTTTTATACGCACTTTGGTTGTTTTAATAATTTTCCGCAATCGAAATAAATTATGACAGTCGGGCAAAGAGCAACAGCAGAACTAAAATTTTATAAAACTCGCACGATTTGCTTTTCCATTCAATATAGTGCGAGAGTGTGAAAATTATTTGACATAGAGAGGTAGCAAGGCAGACATATCATATATATGATATACGTTCTCTGTAGCAGGTAGGCAGAGAATACATATGATATACGTTCTCTGAGGTAGTGAGTGAGTGAGTTGACGTTTATCGCATGACATCACAGAAAGGGGAAGTGCTTTGAATTGAAATAAGTAAACAAACACAGTGCTGCTCCAACTGTTAATGCGTATATATTCTTAGTGCTGTGGCGAGAGGAAGTGATACTTGAAATACAAATTTGAGTACTTCTAACGAAATCTATATATTTATTATTGACAGAACATGATTTAAAAGCAATAAATAAAAAAATGTGTGTATAGAAAGAAAAAGTATACAAGGCACTCATATGTACATACATATGTATGTATATAGTGGCATATATATTAGGTCTAGTGAAAAGAAATTTACGACGATCTGGACAAGAGCATGACAAGGAAGGTTAAAATTCGATGGAATGATCTAACGGAATGCAAAACTGCAAAAGGCAAAGCGGTAGATCAAAAATACACAAAGTTTCTACTCACTCTTAATAGAAGACACTGCAGAAACATGATTGGAATACTCACTGTTCACAGTTTGGTGGCACCAGGGAAATAATGGAGCATCTCTTGTGCACTTGTTCCGCACTAGCGAGGCAATGCTTAAAACCTTTAAGGGCCCTACGATGTGAGACACTGGAAGAGGTATCGATAGTGTGGCTGCAGAACCTATTGAAATTCACGTCAAGCGCTGGCATCCTGAAGGATGACTACTTCTCATGAACTACGTAACATAGTTAGTGGTGATGAAAAGTGGTTCACTTACGACAAATTCAAGCGTAAATGGTCGTGTTCAAATCGCGGTAAGCCGGCGTAAACGGTGATCAAACCAGGATTAACTTTCAGGAAGGGTTTATTGTGTGTTTGGTTGGATTGGCAGGGAATCTTCTACTATGAGCTGCCTCCCGGCGGTAAACTTTTAGTTCGAAGCTGTATTGTCAACAATTGGAGAAAATCTGGGAGCTTGGTTGGGATGTTCTTTTGCATCCACCTTATATGTAGTTTTGATCTGACACCAAGTGCCAATCTCGGATATTCGGATAATTCTAACTATGCTAAATAAAACCTACAATTAAATGCAAAAATAATGGATTTTTTTTACTATACCTTATACAATATATTACCATTAATATTTATTTGTGATCTATCACCGTATAAAAACATTAAATGCAGTGCTATTAAAATTTTAAATTCCAAACTGTTCTGATTCACTGAACAACACACAGTGCTGCTCAAACTCACGCGACTCATTATTCATACATACGTTCACCCACTATTTGTTTATTTGAAAGCACCTTTCATTTTCAAAACAGGTTACGCGATTATTACAACCGCTTAAACTTGGTCTACTACTTGGCTGCTCGTTGAAGCATAATTACGCGGCTTTAGGCCCATTTGACTGCCATTATCGGAGCGTAATACTATAGTTAATATTGGCCGCAAGTCTTCGCCCAGCGGTAGCAACTCAAAGTGCCGTAATATTTTACTTAATGTGCTCTTCATTTCCAACATGGCAAATTTCTGACCAATACAGTTGCGTGGTCCAGCACTGAAAGGCACATAAACGTACGGATTTAATTTCTCGCCACCTTCAAGGGATTCGTTGAGAAAACGTTCCGGCCGAAATGTATCGGGTTCGGGAAAATATTTCGGATCACGCTGCATAATATATATGCCGATGGTGATATTTGTGCCGGCGGGTATTGGTTTACCACCTGTGTCATAATTTATAATAAATAAATGGACTGTGCAATTAATTTCAATTGTGTGCGCGTGTGCTTACGTAAAATAACATCCTCCTCGAAGTTGCGTCCAATTAGCGGCACTGTTGGATATAGACGCAGGGACTCCTTGATTACACACTCCATGTACTTCAGTTCACCGAGGTCGCGTTGTGTTACTGGACGATCTTTGTCAGCGCCCAGCACTTTACGTATTTCCTCAAATAATTTCGCCTGTACAAGCGGATGCCTGGAGATCAAGTGCAAGCAAAATGTGAGCGCACTTGAGGTGGTATCGTGCCCCTCGAACATGAATGTGTCCACCTCTTCACGTATATCTTCATTACTCAGTGGTTTGCCGTCAATGCTAGACTGCAGCAGCACATCCAGCAACGCCATACGTCGTTTCAGGCCCAACTCGGTGTCGGTGGCGGTTGGCGTAGTTTCGTTGGCGCTAAGCGTTTGTTCCAGTGCCGCGCGACGTTCGACAATGATGCGATCGGTAAATTCGTGCATCAGCTTAATGTTGGCGTAAAATAATTTGGCTTCTTTGCGTGAGAGCAATCGGAAAAGCCAATCAATACGCTGCCAAACGTTTATGAAGCGCTTGGCGAACATATATGTAACGCTGTGCATTATATAAAATAGCTGTAGTTTCAAATTTGCATGAGCGAAAGTTATTTACCTTATAACAGCCGATACGTAGGGAAATTCAGGATTCGTTTGCGCATTTACTTTGGTACCCATAGCAGTCTCTGTGTACAAAAACAAATATGTAAAGCACTTGAAAATTAATAACTGGTTAATTATTCGACTAACTACACGCTAGAGGCCAACAATTACCTGCAATTATATCCAATGTCATCAAACATAATAGCGGTGCAATATTCAGTACCGTTTTTCCATCAGCATATTGTACCATTTTTTTCACCAGCACTGTACTCTGTTGATCGAATATTTCCACAAATTGCTCGAGTATTTTGAAATGAAATGTTGGTGTTATGATCTTACGGCGCGCATGCCATTTACGGCCGTTGCTTACGAGTAAACCGGTGCCGAGCCATGGATGTAGTAGATCATAGAAGTTATTCTTTTTAATATGTTTCGAGCTGCTGAGTAATATCTCAACGTCGGCAGGATCGGAGCATAATACCGCCAATTGGTTCAGCAGCCATACGCGATAGTATGGTCCATATTGCTGGCGATTGTGCATAATGAAACTTATAATGTCTAGAAAAAATAGAAACAGCCGAATCAAATAATATTTCACTATTTTATGTATAAAAACTATTACAAAAAATACAAATAACCGTGAAGGGATGTTCGCTGTGTTTGTCTAACCATTTACGGCCAGGCTGTTTTTTTTTTTGTTTTTTTTCAAAAAATCGATTTTTTTTTGCATTTATACCGAATGTACATACAATATAAGTATTTAAGAATATTCATCGAAATTTTAAGAGTGATCCGGAAAATAGTTTTGGAAATATGATCGTATTTGTGAGAGTTTTTTAACTTCGTGTAATCAGTTCCCAAAATTTTAAACGCGTTTTACTCGAATGATCGCAGGAATAAGATTTTTGATAATAAGAAGTTTTGAGATAAATAACAGAAAAATCTTCCTCCCCGCTAGACACCTTTTTTCGGCGATTCTCCGTGAGATCGGCTACGGAATACAGAGAATTCATTTTTCCCAAAATTTTCGATTTCGTCGATTATTAAAATACATTTAGTTCTGCAAATGTAATTTTTTTTTTATTTATTTATCTAATAAAATGCCTCTTCACAAAAAAAAATTCACAAAAATACGCCTTTTTTTAAAACTTTGAAGTGGTTGTAACCCCTTAAAGCAAATAAAAAAATTTAACAGTAAAGAGTTGGAAGACGCCAACACTATGTAACATAAGCAGTCGCCAGACTTTGGCATTACTGATAAGACATCGACATCGAGATCACCTTTACAGTTGTAAACTTGCCACTGATAACTCTGCTAAAACTCACAAAGATTAAACGTCACTCACCTGCTTGGCTTTTACCACGATACATGAGCACATTACCCAACACTGGCAACGGCTTGGGTCCTGGCATATAATTTATCATATCATTGCGACGTTTCTTCAGTAAATAATCGCCGAGTATGAGCAGGGCAAACAGCAGCAGCAATAATTCGATAAACATGTTTTGCCGTAATATGTTTTTATGGCACAAAACGGCCGCAGGTTTGCAATAATTACGTTGCCTTTTAACGTAAGGTATTTATATTGCGTAAATATTTAAGCACTATTTCAATCAGTTCTAATTTTAAGTTAGGTACAACTATTTCATATCCGCAACTCAACCAATTCGTTTGAAAATATGCGCTCAACTAAGTAAAAGTTCCACCGATGCGCTATTAATCTTATTGCAAACTCAATGCACACGTATACAAACAATGGAACTCGGTATATTTTTGCTCTGATTACACTAGTCAACATTGTAGAAAATTAGCTTGGCGAAAAGCGACTAACTTGGAGCTTCATAGAGAATCCATAAAGCTACGATTTCAGTGACAAATGAAAATTTGTTGAATAATGTGTTTATTTGTATTCGCTTTAAGATAAGATTCGAATATGCAGGTGAGAGAACATGTTTTTGAGAAGCAAATAAGATCTGAGCACCAAATGCATGCAGATATACATATGTATGTGAATAATGAGATGAAATGTTTACTTTGTTAGAGCTAGAAAAAAAAACCAGTTAGAGCAGCAGAACTAAACCATTTAGAAACTTTCATACATACATGAAAAGTTAATAAGGCTAACATTGACTGATGGGATAGTACCATCGGTCTAATCGTGCGACTAGCTCTGCTTTTTCTAAATCTGATCAAATTTGAGGTGTATGAATCTGCGGGGAACATCAAAAATTGCTTATATCGTCTATTTTATTGAATTTTTATTGCATTTAAGAATTATTTCGCAATGTAAGTATTGTTTTTATTTTTTTATAAAGTAGTTATTAAATGAGATTGTATAATTATTAACTAAAGTTCTATTGTTGTATTTTTTTATAATTGAATTTTTCTTACCATACATTTGAGAATGGTTTTTATTTAAGAACTGTTTTTTTTTTCACAAAATATCTATTAATTGATAGTTTATAATTATATCGACATATTTACTTACATGGATACAGTTTTTTTACTATGGCATTAATTCTAAATTAATATTGTAATACTAAATAAACAACGAAAATTAAGTTTTGATTAATAAATTAATAGATTGCTTCGAAATGTTCTATTAGTGTTGAGTAATTTAATTTTAGCAGTCATCAATCATTCGTTCAATCTACTTGATTTCTGGCAACATTGCGCTACCAAATGTCAATGAGTTTACCCAAAACTACAGTCACTATTGCCATCCTGCTTTCGCCCATACGCTTTCAAGCGAATGGAAATTTTTCGAGCAACATTTTCGCAGTTGACTGCGTCAGTTCCACTTTGACGGCTGTGAGAAAAATTTCATATATTTAACGCGCGAAATTTTCTCTATTTTAGTGAAACAGCAACCTAGAAAACTTGTAGAAAAGTGCAAAAAAGCTCAAGAAATACATAGAATAGTGGCTAGAGTTGTAAAAAGGTAGTGCGTGCACATAGTTGCGAAATAAAAACTTATAAAAGCGTACACTGAAGTGTGTGGTGTGAAAGAAGTGTTCTTTACGTGCTGCGACCGTGTGTAAAAGTAAATATTCTAATATTTCCTCAAAATTTTCTTGTGTGTATAAGATTGTGGTTTATATATTCTTAATTGTAGTAAAACTTTTTGTTATACCAAGTAATCTGTAATGTGTAGCACGTTTAGCACTACATTTTTTAAATTAATTAACTTGCTTAAGTTTTTTGTGCCAAAGTAAAATGGCGCTGATTGTATGGTGTGGTATAGTCGCATGGCGGCCGAAATGTATGCGGCGAACGCGAGCAGCGACAGCGATACTGTGTCAGGGACCGGGTTGTCATAGTTTTTAATACATATATACCTATCATATGCAATACCATCTGTGTAGTTTTTTTAAGGTGTTTTTATAGTAAAATAATAATTACATTCAGTGTTAATTAGCAGCAATTTGATGTATATTTCTATGCGGGAGACTTCATTAAAGCAGCGCTGCTTCGTATGTGCTGCTAACGCATTTCTCTGCAGTCAAGCATCGTAGCAGCGAAGCTAATCCAACGAGTTAAAACAGCGAAAAGTAGTTCGTTTATTGAATTTTGAATTAATATGTTTTTTGCGCTTTTAAAAATATGCACCTTGGCATTGCTAGTCTGTGTGTATGCAAAATATATAGTAATATTTATAAATTTAATAGTCAAAAAGTGCGTTGGTGCAACTATTAATAGAGAGTTTGCCAGACCTAGAGAGTTGGTGGGCGTAGAAAGTGCATAACGCGGAACAAGACTTTAGGCAAATCAGTAAAAGTGCTGTTGTTTCGCCGTGTGTAGTATAGAAGGCAGATCTTGTTAAAAATTGACGATAACAAGTTGAATGACCCCCCATTTTGCAATTGTCATTTTGTTATCAGTATTAGAATAAAGATAATATAAGGAATGATTATTATTGAAATTTAGTTTGCAAATAAATTAATTTTCCTTAATCATGGCACAACGTTACCTACCATCTGAGTATATACATAAGTATATATAATATATTTTATTGTTCACTTTAAAGCATCTGAAACATATTGCGCCGTTTTTAAATTGCTCATACTTATTTTTGTGTTTTTTTTTCAGTTTTGTTTTGAAGACTTAATTTTGCTGGATTTCATTAGCAGCGCTGAAAACAGTTTTTTAATAACTAATGTATGGGAATATGAATAATGGTGGCCATGTGCCATACGGATTCAATGGTTATAGACCGAGGTATTTATGAACATGTTTATCATTATTTATCATACATACATATAAAATTTACGAAATTAGTGACCACACAATAATGTAGTAAGAAATTATTTAGTGTAGTAAAATTATTAATATCATGATCAATTAATATTAATATTGTAATAGGAAACCGTATTTTATATGGCTTGCAACTTTTGAATTCTCAATTTCTATTTTCAAAGGTTTGAACTGAAAGAATCGTGGAAAATAGTATTGAAAAGTTTCCACAGCGAAAACTACTGTGTATTTTCACGTATATAAAAAACTCTTCTTTAAAAAATCAACGTTTCTCCATTGGCGGTAGACAACAGCAAATGACACTCGAAAAAATAATCCATGCAAAAAATGTAATTTTACTTATATTATGTTGTAAACATATACATGTATGCACTTATTTCCTCTTTTTTTTACAATGCCATCATTGCGTCTTATTTTTTTTTATAAACAGCCACGTGCACTTCCTGTTCACGGTTCCTCCGCTGAAATTCTATGCTGCATTGTTGTTGTTAATATACATTGATGGTCTTTTTGTTTTGTTGGCACTTGAGTTTATTATTTTTTTATAGTATATATTCATATTTGTTCTTATGTATTGATTTTTTGTTGTCAATATAGTTGTACACATAAATTGCTATTGAAATTTTGCCAAAGTAACTGCTGTGGAATGAACACAGATTTTTTCCTATATTTGTGTGCTTTTGTTGGCTCGGTTAAGTAGCAAAATTTAATATGGGTGAGTTATACAATCGTTTACAATTATGCGCTAGATCTCTGCAAAATTTGAATCCCGCTTTATTTAAATTTTTTTTGTTTTAATACATTTTTTTAATTACATATGTAGGTACTTATTAAATTGCAACTCGTATCAAAATTCCTTGACATAAATCTGCATTAAAAATTGCTTTACCATTTTGGCTGCTGTGTTTGTTTGTGGTTTTTTGATACACTGGCCAATGTCGTTTAACTTGCCACTAGCCGCCCAATTGTCGGTGGCATTGCAACACAATTCACAACTAAATTTACATTTTACTTTTGCTTTGCTAAATTTTTTAGTTTAATTTCATTTTTATACATATTTAGTTGTGCGTTCGTGCGCTTGCCAGCCAAAAAGTATGCTAAAATATGTATATGTGTGTATGAAATGCTACATAAGATCTTGCAACAATAACGAATGTACGTGAAATGCCACATAACTGCCTGGTAGCGACTGCTGTTGCTGTGGTTTTTGGTACGCCATTCCTGTTGTACATACTTGTAGTAGATTTTTTAGTTTGCAACTAGCGTTTCAGTTGCTTTTGCTGTTTGCTGTTTGCTCTTTACTTTCCTGTGCTAGTGTCGCCTTTTTCGCTCATTGGTCCACTTTTCTAAACATTATCTATTGCTGCTTTTATATTTATTCCTTGCCCGTACCACTGCTGTCCATTATCTACTTCAACTGGCATTTGGCATGTTTTGACCGCATTTTCCTTGATTTCCACAACTGCTTACATAGTTGTACACCATCTTATTTGGTAAATAAAATTCTTTGCATTCATGTCAATTTCCGGTTGTGCTATTTTCAGCAATGTCATTCGTGGTATTTATTTGAACAAATTCAAAATTTCTTCTTTAAAGTGTACTTACTCATAATTTAAGTTTGATTATAATTTCTGTTAAATTTTCATCTAGAAGTTAACTTGATCTGTTGTTTTCAACAACGCGGTTTGGCGATGGCAGCGTAAAATGTGTGCTTATACTATCGAAAATCGATAGCACACACGTGTTTTTGCTAAGTCGTGATTTTGTACATACAAGTATCGTTTCCCATGGCAAAATTTAGTTAAAATATAAGCATTTACACTATGAAAGCATATAACAAAATATTTCGTTTTCAGTTGAAGTGTTAGCTCCCATCATTAAAATTATTTAATTAAACTTCTTTGCCCCCACATTACTTCTTATCTAATTTTTGTGTGTTTTTTTTTTATTAAAGAATCCCGCTCCCTTTATGTAAAGGCTTATTTGATTTTTCTTATTAAGTGGTTTTTTTATTCTAACTCAACCACATAGCCAGTGTATGTGTTTTGACCTTTCAAGTTATACATACATATAACCATCGACTAATTTATTATTATTATTATTGTTTTTTTTTTTTTTGTTTTTTGCTTTCTTGTATTTTAATATTGTTGGCAATATGTGTATAGAGTTAAAAAGAAATGCTGGCAAGGTAAATAAGTTAACATTGACAGTGAGCAGGTTTCTACAGAAGGCAACGCAGTTGATTAGAGATAAAGCGTTACAAAATAGTAAGCAATTTAATATTAGGTTTATTGACTCAATAATGAATACGGCTAAAATTCAAGGTCAGAAAAATCAGTTTATAATAATATTTTTATGGCTCCAATTAGGAATAAAACGATTATTTTTTTTTAAGTTTTAAGTAATGTGCAAAGTTGCTGTGAGTATTGAGCACTTACCACAAAAAATAATAGAAAAAAACTTAAATTCTTCGCAAACTTCATTCTTACTATCAATATATTATAAAAAAAAAAAAATATCAACGCGCAGAATAGTGTGTTAATTTTAGCACAAATTTGCTTGTAAAAATAAAAATAAATATACAGTCAGCGTGTAAATAATGCAAACAACAATAAAAAAGTTATATAAATTGTATCCCAAAAAGCCATAAAACTCAACAAGTGAATAAAAATAGCGAAATTCATAATTCAACAAGGAGAGCAATTAAAAATTTCCACATCAACAGCAGCAACAAAAATAAAACAACTGCGTAGGCTACCCAACGAAGCCATATTTGTTACTGTGAAGCACACAAACAATTTTTTTCATTTTTGGATAAATTTGTAAACGTGTGCAACTGCAGGAGGCAGTAAGGAAAAACCGCAACTACTATGTACCGGTAATTGTTACACAAATACATATCTATATTTTCAGCAATTAATTCATGTTATTTATACATATTTTTCACACGCTTTTTATATAAATACAAAAACGTGTGTATGCAGAATACATATATAACGCTAGTTTTTCAGCATTATCTCATTGCAAATTTATTTGTTAAAAGCCCAATTACTTTTGAAATGCACATTTAAGCACAGAAGCGCATTTCTCTCATTCGTACTTTCAGCTAATTTTAATTACAAACCAAAATCTCATCAAAATTTTTTCGTTATTAGAATATTTGATTTTATCAATTATATATTGTACAAAAACTGTATTCACGAAATTTTGCGCTTTATTTAACAAAAGAAAATAACACGTTTATATATAATTGTTGTTGCATATGCAGTTTTTTTGTAAATTTTTTTTAATGTTTTTCATATTTTTTAAATATTTTTTAATACTTTTTTAATATTTTTTAATATTTTTTTCATATTTTCTTTTATATTTTCTTTTTAAATTTTTTTCCTATTTTCTTTTAGAATAACGCACTTATATATAATTTTCGTTCCATATGATTACCAATCACAAAAAATTGCATGCAATTTATTAAATTTTAACTAAAATTAAATATAATATTTTTATATGTTTATGTTTATATTTCTTATTTTTTTATATATTTTTTTTTTATATTTTTTTTTTTTAAATATTTTTTTTAATTTAAAAATTTTTTTTATATATTTTTTTTTAATTTAAAAAAATTTTTTTATATTCTTTTTTTAAATTTTTTTTATATATTTTTTTTTTTTTAATTTTTTTATATATTTTTTTTAAAATTTTTTTTATATATTTTTTTTAATTTTTTTAATATTTATTTTTTATATTTTTTTAATATTAATTATGTTTATATATAATATTTTTAAATTTTTTTATTTAATTTTTTTATTTTATTGTTTTATATATTATTATTTTATTTATTTTTTTGTATTTTATTATTTTATTTATTTTTATATATAATATATTATATAAATATGCATATGAATATATTTTTTATATCATCATTTCACGAAACGACCATCGGAACGCCATCTTATGCCTACCATAACTGTTATCGATTATCGATACTACAAGGGCACTTGTCATATTTAGTACCGTTGTACTATACATTTTATATTTTCGTTGTTAGAACTCGTTAAATTTATGCATAAATATTATACTACGTGTTATGAAGAAATTATTTTTTATTATTATTGTTTCACAGTTCAATATTTACATATGTACATATTTACATATATGTAGTATATATGCACATATATATGCATAAATCATAAAAACAAATGCACCGGCTAAACAATTTTGCTGGCAAGCTGCTTGGACTATTTTTAAAAATCATTACTACTTTAAATTACTACTTGAACACCATCGTAACTGATTCAATTTCAGCTGCAATTTTTTTTCCTCCAAAGTTTAATAAATCCGTGATGACGTATGAAGTGCAATTAAACCATTTTCGCGTTAAACTAGCAATGAAATTTGCTGTGGTAACAAGTACATATATACATATGCACGTCTGTATATACACAAAAACATATACATCTGTTTATACATATACAAAAATACATTTCTACACATACTACTGTGTGCACTCAGTTAAACCCACAAATGGCTATGGTACTTCCGTCGTACAGGCGTGCGCGCTGCTTCACAGCCTCTATAGCTTGCCGTTAGCATTCAATGTTGAATATGAGTAAATACTTTTATGCTGTGCAAACAAACAAATAAAATCCTAATGAGTTTACTGAAATCCAAATCCTAAAAAATCCCCAATGGTTTGCTACCGAAAGCAAGGCGGCAGGCAGTCGTTAGAAAATCAGCGGTGCGCGGAGTGTGAGTGAATCAGTTGTGGCAGACGCTTTAGCTTGACTGCGCGCTTGGGCTGCCAGCGGCGCTACATAGCCATAGTAGCTGTACAGCTAAACTGATATTGAAGCAGACAAACAAAATCATATTGCTTGCCAGTGAATATGCAAGTTGTACTCATCGCTGCTATAAAATATACCTACACAAGTAAACAGCGATACCTACGTGTGCTGTTAGACAAAGTTGAAACGTATATATGTATGTACATACATGCTTCAGTTGCAACCAACTAACGCCACCCGCTTCAATGAATTGCAGTAAATAATTGAAAAGTTTCGAAAGTCCTGCTACTACTGCTATTTTGCCACAACTTTTATTAGCATGCTTACGACTGTTGCTGCTACTGCCATCGCTTACTATGTCAGCTAGTAATTTTTCCATTAGTTTGTTATGACTGCGCTATTAATTTATTACTGCACTTCTTAATGTGCTTAACTCTCGGCAACCACTTAACGCCATAAACAAATGCAATTTCCTTTGCAACACATCACCTCCCCCCCTCATGTGAGAAAGCTGCTGAAAAGGTGCTTGCATTAATATGCACTTCTGGTCCAGTTGACTCATTCACTGAATATCTAATTTGATTTATACTGTGGTAATTATTTGCGACTGCCGGTTGAAAGTTTTTCAATTCAGTGATTTGATGGTGAAGCTCTCAGTGCTGTGAATTGTTGATTACCTAGCGATAATAAGTTTACAGTGCTTTCATAAACTTTTCACTCAGTTTTTGAGATATCGATCGAAAATTGTGCACACGTTCTTTTCTCCCCAAGAAGCTGCTCATTTGTCGAAACCGCCGATATCGGCTCTATATAGCATATAGCTGTCAAACAAACTGAACGCTCGCAATCAAGGTTTTGTATGAAAAACTTTATTATTTCACAACATATCTGCACGAAACCTGGTATAGAACAAGGCTACACTATAATCCCCAAAAAAGTTGTTCAGTTCCGAACACTATATTATGTAGCTGTTATACAAACTGATCTTTAAATATTAATATACAGATCTTTTTGTCCGCTTTTATGGTATAAAAAATGCAATGTGTCTTACTGTAGCTTCTATGCAGCCGAAATCAACGTTTTTTCTTCTTCTTTGAACTTACGCCCATTATCAGGCCTAAAAGTCTATACTTCCTTCGCTTCATGCTCGTGCCTTTTAGGCGCTGAGTACCTTTCTTTACACACTTATCGTTTTCGTCGCCCCATTGACTTCATTTCCGTTTCATCACTATCGCACTTCCTTTGACACAATTGTACGCGCGAAGCGGCGCGCCCGCTTCTCCGTAATGCTCACTTATGCAGCCGCATGACAGCTTTCTAGTGCTACTCACCCACCTATTGATCGTTCGACCGACCGCGTTGACCGCACTTTATCCAAAAGTTTTAGTTGCACATTAATTTGCTTTCTGTGTTATTTGTTTTTTCTTTTGCTATTAATTTCTTATTTTTAGTCTACATTTTTCTTGTGGCTTGATTCATTATACACACGCCTATCAACACTTTGCGCGCTGTTTCACTTTTCGCTGTCTTGAGTAGTTACTTAAACGTTTTTGTGCGGCCGCTAACGCACTGCCATTGCATACTTGTAGGCGTCTTGGCCCACATCTCATTTAAATTCCGTAAGTTTTTATATCCGCGCGGCTTATTTACACTTTATTTGTCGTTTAACTCACGCCGCTTATGCGTAAACTGTTTTTTCTTGGCTGTATTGGTATATACATACATATTAGGGTGGAGTGAAAACAATTTTTTTTGTTTTGTTTGAGGGTAAAATTTGTAGATTATAAAAAAAGAAATGTTTGGAATTTTTTTTCCAAAATTTTTTTTTCAAAATTTTTTTTCCAAAATTTTATTTTCAAAATTTTTTTTCAAAATTTTTTTTTTCAAATTTTTTTTTATTTTTATAGTCAACAAGTTTTACCCACAGGCTAAGAAAAAAATTTTTTTTTCACTCCACCCTAATACATATATATATATATTTGCTTTATTTGTAGTTTGTTTCTTTTCATTCACTTTTTCTTTTATTATATTACTTTTTGTTTAATTTTTAACGTCTATTGTCGCCTTGGTGTGCTGATTTTACACGTTCTGCATTTTCCTGTGTTTGCTGTCACGTTTTTGCGCTGACACATCGCTGCCTTATGCGTTACATATGCCACCAACAAACATTTTCTTTTTATTTATTTACTTTTACACTTGAATATACTTGTTTTTGTTGTGTTTTCGCACTTTATTTGCATGTTTTTTTTGTTGTAGTTACGCCTTACAGCACATGGAAATTTTCATATTGCTCTTCCCACTTTATTCACGTTTCTTTTGTGCAGTTTTGTCGTTCGTTTATGAATTAATGCAGCATTTTCAGCTTCGTAACTCGTTGAATAAGTTGTGCTGACTCGCCATTGGCGACTTTTGACACCTATATTTGTTTGTAGACGAACTTTTGTTTTACATTTTTGTTGTCTGCGTAAATTTGTTTTCATTTTTTTTAACACACTTCTTTTGTTAACCAGCTTTGTCGGCTTTGAAATTTGGCTTGAAACTCTTTTACTACTTGCGTTGTTGACTAGACTGCTCTAGTATTTTACGTGATCACTTGTTTTTATTTTTCCCTTAAATTTGTAACACCCAGTAGGCAATGTCGTAGATCGTATAACATATACATATATATAAATGATCACATTGTTGAGCTGCATCGATTTAGGCATGTCCATCTGTTCTGTACGCAAACTAGTCACTCAGTTTTTCAGATATCGATCGGCACACGTTCTTTTCCCAGCAAGCAGCTGATAATTTGTCGAAACCGTCGTTGTCGGTGTACTATAGCATATAGTTGTCATACAAACTGTACAATCAAAATCAAGTTCTTGCATGTCAACCATTTTATTTCCACTTCACTTCGATTGTGATACGCATTCCACGTCTTCGCTCACTTTCTTTGTGCTCTTTCACAGTGCCTGCCATACTTTTGTTATTATGGCGTTTGTATTCTTTCGCTTTGTTGACCTCTTTTCTACCAACTCACCGTATTTACATTTTTCAGCCTGCTCTCTTTGCTGTAATCAAACACAATTTCATGATTTAATAATACAACAAAAACACTCGTACTCTTATCATATTGTTTTTGTAGTTTTTACTGTGCGCCTTCCTGGTTTTGTTTTGAAAACAAAATTTCTTCTTCGCGTAGCCTTTATTCTCACTGTGTTTGCGTTGAAAAACCTCGCTTACAATACAATTCTTTTCACTGCAATACAGTTTTAATGCAATATTTCGCAATTCGCAATAAACTGAATTTCTTTTCTCCGTGACGAATTTTCGTAAAAGTTGAGAGTGCGCCGCCGTTTGCATTTACTTTTGTCAACTGTGAAAGTTCATATAAAGAAAATATTTTACAATTGCTGTGTCGATAACTCTTTTAATATCGATATTTCGTTATAAGTATTTAGACAACTAAGCGCAAGACAAAAGTTTAAGGGTTTACATGGGTTTCACGGCTTCAAAATGCAAAAAAAAAAAAATTTATTGTCTTATTTAATTCTATAACAACTCTAGAATATTGTCCTAAATTCTCAAGCTGAACGCAGTAATAGTTTTGGAGCTACAGCTTTGAAAAGTTGGGAGGTCAGCTATATAGTCACTTAAAACGTTTTTCTCGAAACTGTTTTTAAAGTCGTTTGTCAAGAATCTTTATCAAATATGCATCTTCGGAGTAATAAGAAGTTGAAATAAAATAATAAATTTTTTATAAAAAAAAAAAATGATTGAAAATACGGCGTTTTTTGCGCGACAAAGCCCATGTAACCCCGTAACCTCTTTTTAAAATATAAATTATTGCTTTTTGAATGGGAAAATGATGGAGCTCTGCATCAGCTACTTATAAAGTGTGCGAAAATCACTTGCTCTTTTAAGTTTATCATGTAGTAAATAATAAAATTGCTGTGCAATATTTCGAGCGCATGCCAAGGTTGCAACATTTTTTTTCTCTCTCTTATAAATACTTATGTTGGTGTTACAACAAAAAGTACGTTGCAAGCAAAATTACGAAAATACATAGAAAGAAGCAGCAAAGTGAAAAAATAAAAATAATACCAATACATTGATTGCAATTTCACTGCCAATTTCAATTTGTATATGGCACAGACAGCACTGAGATCAATTCAAGCACAAAGTCGACACTGGCTACAACCGCTTCAAGCACAGTCGTTGACAATGCATGCTGTGTAGCATATATTGTAAATATATCAAAATAATGGGAATAATAGGTCATAAAACCCCACACATATGCATATGTACATACATATTAGGGTGGAAAGAACTTTTGTGAAAGAAACTTTTTTGTTGCTTAGCCTGAGTATAAATTTGTAGATTGTAAAAAAAGAAAATTTAAAATAAAAAATAAAGTTCGAGTTAAAATTTTTCTTTCGTTCTTAGTGTTCTAGAAGCTGGGAAGAGTCCTCTTTCTGGCCAATAAAAAGTTTGCAACTTAAACAAATTTTTTGAATTGTTTAATTATTGTTGAAGGTTAAAAAAAAAAGTCTTAAGCGTTAAAATAAATTTTGAGTCAAAAACCGTCAATTTCGGTAATTTTTATATAAACCAAAAAAAACATTTTTTGTCCACAAAAATTTTTTACTTAAAATTTATTGTAAAAGTGATGTTAAAAAAAATTGTTTTTTGTCAAAATTTTTTTTTAATAATCTAAAAATTTTACCCTCAGGCTAAGCAAAAAAAAAATTTTTTTCGTTCCACCCTAATACATTTTACATATGTATAACATAAATGAAAGCATGTGTGTTGCGCGAACTTTTGACAATTTCTGACACCGCATGGCCTCACAGCACGAAAAAAAGTAAAGTTTTTATTATTATATTTATTGATGTACTGCAATTTGCTGTGTATTTGCTTACGCGCCTAAAAGCGTGTTACTCATATATACATACTTGTATGTGCTATACGCCCGCATTT